GCAATTTAATTCGTTCTTTGATACAACCCACACTGTGATTGGTGTGACACGCGCACATGCATAACTCCCTCACTTACCTTCCAACCCCCAAGAGGAATTTTTGCTCAAACGTACTCAAGTTAAGAGAACTTTTCTCATTTTATGCAAGTCGCAAGTTTACCCTTTTTACACAACACAACGCAACAATACTACTCCACCGAAAATAGAAAGAAAGAGAAAAAACCTCTTGGACACGTTGAAAGTCTGATTTAATTGAATTGCACTGTAACTGGTGCCACGCAGTCTTCAAAGAACATTTTAACAGTTTTCATGCCTTTTACCTTTAAAAATATCGGACTGAAAAGAATGTCATAAAACGCTCATTAAATAAAAATATGAAACTGCTACTGCAGAGACGTAAAAGCCGTCCAGAAATGAAAGCTTCTTTTTTATTTAATATCCCGGGAAGAATAGCCGATAACTTGTCAGCTCGAATTGAATTTACTCCCATATAAAAAAAAAAGTGTTAAGTTACCATTTGTAACTAAAGGTAGCAAACATATCGTGTGAACAAGTGGTGACGATTCGTCAGCTCTAATTGAATTTACTCCCTTGTGAAAAACAAGAGTGTCAAATTTCCCTTTGTGACTAAAAAATAAAAAGCTGTTTAATTTCACTTCTCCAGTTAACATGAAACCAAATCTAACAAGTCGCCGGCTTGTTTCTCTGTTTGCGAAAGAGGGCCAGAGTTTTCCTGTTCAGGTTTTCCTTCCGTTAGTCACAGGTTCCGATTATTTAAAGGCGTAAGACACTCAACTTTTGCAATTGTCGATCAGCTGCTAGCTGTCGCTAGCATACCCTGGCATGCATGGTGTCTGTGTTAGATGTACAGAAATATGTTACCCACCATTTACAAGGAAAGCGTTGGTGACACTTCCTAACCCCATCGAGACCTATTACGAGCCCCTAGCTAAAAAAATCACAGCCATACATCAACGAACAACAACAAAAAAAGACATTTTAAAACAATCTTTTACGCACATTTTTTTTTTTAATAACACAAAAAAGCGTTAGAGTTTCTCCTACATAATGGTTATGCTGCGCTTGCGCGCGTAAACATAAAACCCGCATTTGGATGCTTTAAATAGTACTTGCAACATGGAGGCATAAATTATGACTTGTGAGATTCTTTAACATCTCTCTTCTGCGCGAATAAATTATTAAAGGTAATCTTGGCTGAAAACAGTTTTGTTCCAAATCACAAGTTGGTGTTTGTTTTAAATTATTTCAGTGATTTAAAGTCAGTAAAAGACCTTCAGCTCATTCCAACAAACAACAGCACCAAGTCGAGGTCAGCGTGTACAAAAATACAGCAAATGTATGAAAATGTCCAACCCAACCTCGCTCTGGTACTATTGTTCGAACGCACTGAAGTGGAATGCGGGAAAGGTCTATTCTTTGCCTGTATTAAAAGGCTGGGCATTTTCCTTTTGCAATTTTTGAATTTAAAGATTTAAGTGCTTCTAATCGTATGTAAATCCTATTCAGGATGATTACGCAGTCCCACGAGAAATCTTCTTCTCTAGACTCCATATTGAGATTTCCGACCATACAATGACGCCATAAGTTAATATAAAGTAAGCATGGTGACACCCAGGGATTTAAACTGAAAACAAAACACTTAGTTTTCAAACCACGTAAAGCCACAAGGTATACTTTGGAACTTAATTTGCATTTGAGCCAAGATTCCCTTCAGCCATTGAGTGCTAAACATTTCATTTCATTTTTTCCTTTTTTTTTTTTTTTGTATTTAGGTTCACACTAGGCAGTGGGCTTGTAATAGTCCTTCAGTTACCTGTAACTGTGGAGCAGTGTTAAGAGATCACAATGACGTAATTGAGTTCAACTGTTGTAACAAGGACCTTACGTTTGAACATCCCACGCCATTGCAAGTCAAACTGCGAAGCCACCATAAGTGTTTGAGGCCTGGAATTTCTATTGGAAAGAAATCTAATGGTGGTAACGATTATTACACGGTAGATACTTGCTCATTGTTTGCTATTGACGTTCTCAAACACTTGAAATAAGTAGGAAAAAGATTTAGTTGCAACATTATACAATAAAGCTTCTTATGTTTTTGTTTTCTTTTTTGTTTTTTTTTTTGTTTTTTGTTTTTTGTTTTCTTTTTTTTTTCTCGGTTAGTGATCGGTCGGAATTTAACAAATCCCGCAATCTAATTGGTTCCGGGAGCAGGCGGAATTTTCTCATGCGGCCCGCCCACGAAATCGTCTTGTTTATCTATTTTCGAGAACGAGTTAGCGGTAAAAACTGTGCCCTCTGTCTTGAGTATGGCCATCGGCCTGCGGCTTCTGGCCATACTCAAGACCTCGGACACAGTTTTCGGGCAGGTTGTTATCGCCTTCCATCCTTCTTCGATATGCAGTCGACTCTCGATAACTGGATCCTTCAGGGGAAATTAAAAAGGTTCGAATGATCGGGAGTTCGAGTTATAGAGAGTTGAGAACGCGAAAGAATATTCTAGGGTCTGGATAACTGGCAACTGACGAATGGCCAAAAAAATTACTGACAAGTGACAAAAACCCCAAAATTTAACTGGCAATTGAAATTTGCAGTAAGATTTACTGACAATTGACAAAAGGCGTCAGCCATTGTTATCCATTTGAAATTCATCGAAAATAACTTTTTGCGGTTAAAATATCACTAATTCAACCTTTTGAGTTTAATATTCATGCCGTTTAAACTGTGTGTAGACCAAAACCATCACACTGAGTTTTGTACTAGGTCTGTTAATGATAATTACTGATTTGCAGTTTAACACTCATACTATGCATCCAATAACCTGATAACATTTAATTTCTTAAAAAGTGGAATAGAATGTTCAAGGAAGCTAGAAAAGGTAATGAATGTGATGGCTTTCTTTTGTATGACAAAAAGAGGTTACAAAGTAGATTTAAAAGTATTACCCCAAGCTATTATACATTATGATAAAAATGGATAAATTAGGGCATAATAAAGGTCTAGCAAGGTTTTGCTATTAAGGTAATACCGGAGTTTCGATAAAATTCCCACACTTCTTTTAACCTTTTTAGCAATGTACTTAATATGGCTTTTCCAGTTAAGGTGGGAGTCAATATAAATTCCTAGATATCTAATCGAGAATCCCTCAATTAAAAAATGATTGTCAATAGACAATAGACAATGGCCATTTTTTGCAGTGGGTCCCCCTAACTTGAAGGGAATAAAACATTTTTTAACTAACTTTTTGCCCCAATCATTTTCTCACCAAACCCAACATTTGTGCCAGGTTTAAGCGAGATCGGTAATTTGATCTGCCTGGTGTTCTCATGGACACACTCTTAAAAGTATTCATTATTGTCGTTTAATTTCAGGTGATTTTTCCAACTGGAGTGAAAGTAGATATTGTGCGCAACCCTTGGGGAATAGATGTTACAATTCTAACTAATCGAGCGGATTCAAAGGTTAATGAGTCGGGGATTTGCTTGTACGAAGATAGGGATAACCGTAGTATGACCATTGATGAATATGGTGAAACTCAAAGGTATGATCTTATAAAAATCAAAGGCTCCTTCGAGCTACCTCATGGTATTCTATGAAGTGCTGTCCTTTGCCTCTTTTGGAACTAAGAAGTGTTGCATTTGTAAGGTGTTAAGTTGAAAAGTGCATCATGTTCATAAGCAGCCATTAGTTGAGCATGTTTATAGAAATAAGGTCTTCATCTAATATAAATAACATTTAGACAGGAAACACTGGTAATCCTTTTAGTGTCTTTTTTTCTGTCTGGATTATGAACATCAGCAGTGCAAATATTGTTTTGACAATTTGTGAAGATTTCATTAGTTTGC